TTTTACCCACGTATTATTCAGCACGCAATGTCTTCCGTATTTTTTTTTTAATTATTGTTTTAAATTTGTAATAGTTTGGACAATTATATTTTTCTAATTTTTTGTTATTTCAGAAAATGATTATTTATGCAAACCCACCTGTTGATGCTAAACAATTATACAATTCTTTTTACCAAAAGAAAAAAAAACGATAAGTGGAGGGCCTCATTTCATTAATTTGTATGAACGTGTATTTCATTTTATATTTAATATATAAAGTTGAGAATGCATGAACTGTCCACCATAAGACTTAATTTAAAAAAATATATAAATAAATCTCAATTTAAAAAAATATATAAATAAATCTCAATTATTAAATTTAATAACATTCAGTTCTTCAATATGTTTCTTATGTCAAGTTTTTCTATCCAAATTAACAAAATTATATTTTTTATTATGAAAATACCCTTAATAAGTTATGCAAGAATATAAGTTTAATATTTTGGAAAAAAAATTAAAACCTTTATTAAAAAAAAAATTAGTGGTTGAGTAAGTTTAAAACTTTTTATTTCTTAAAATATTTTGAGAAATTTTAAGAAAATTTTCTATTATATTCTTATATAACTCAAGAAAAATTTTGGAATGAAAAATATAATTTTGACAATTTGAATGAAAAAACTTAATGGAAGGACATATTTAAAAATTGAATATTATACAAAGACATAATAGACATAATTAAAAATATAAAAAAATATATTAAATATTTACCTAATTATATAAGAATAGATTGAGTTATTTATATCTACTTATAATAACTATGACAATATAGAAACACAATTACAATAATAGAATCAAATCAATAAACAATTGATTATATATCAATAACCGAATGACCAAAATCTTATCACTAAAATTTAATTTTTTTTAAAAAAGTACTGAATTATAGATCATCATCAACGTTGATAAAGGGATTGGTTTAACATTTTAGCTATGTAATCCCCTTTTGTCTTTTTTCGTAAGTAACTTGTTTTAAGGCATATATACATCTTATTCGAGTCACTCGAACCTATTTCCATACACATAGATCTGGTTGGTAATGAGTGCAAAATACTCATATCTACCTACCAGTACTTTTTCTTGTCTGATATTTCATTATTTTATAGAGCATTGCAAAAAAATATCAGCGGCATCAAAATATTAACGGTTGGTATTGGTTCATAAAGAAGAGTTGTGATCTAATAGATTCGAACCATATACCATGATGTTCAATATTGGTTTACGTAAATTAAATGGAACTCTAAGTGAATTAAAGAAAAATATACAAATCAATTAATGTGATTAATTAATTCTAACAGTATTTTTTATTACTATTATTTTTTCGGTTTCAAAACTGTATACTAGCATCACTCTTTGTGTTAAAATCATTTGATACTTTAATGGTGTCAATTTTGTAATAACCTTGCAAATAACAGATGATATAATATCAATTTTTTAAAAAATATTTATTATGCCGGGTTTTTTTAAAAGTATAGTATTGCAAATCAAATTTAAGATTTTTTCTAAAAAAAATTATAATTTAAATTGTTAGAGCACATATTTCATATTCAATGATTAAACTAAAAATGAATAATATATAAAGTCGAGAAATGACATAAGACTTTTGGATAGATCTTAATCTTAATTATCTAACTCTATACGGTATTAAGACTTCAAAGAGACCCAATAAAGATCTTGGAGTCCAAGTCAATTGATAGAGCCCAACAAATGAGCTACAAGTAAAAAGAAATCTTAGAACACATATCTCACATTAAATAGTTAAACTAATATGTTAAACTAATGATGAATAATATATAAAGTTAAGAAGAAACCACTCACTATAAGACTTAATTTTTTTAAATGAAATCCAATTTCAATTATTTAACTCCATATTTATTTAGTTTGATGCATATAAATTTATATTTTATTTAACCAAAAACAAAAAGGACGGAATCACTAATTGCATTCCCTCTTTCCTCCTCGTCTTATTCTATGTATTTCTTAAAAATAAAAGCTCAATTAATAAGTAAAGTCTCAAGGAGTCAAGGGCTATATATATTATATATATGAAATGAATTCTCAGTTAGTACTTGTAATATCTTTTTGCTTGTCATTTTTTTTATAAAGATTTTTGTATATTTTTCAATACTCAATTACAATTTTCAATTTTTTTTTAGAAAAAGATAACAAGCAATAAAAAATTAAATTAATTGTTAATTTCAATTAATATTCAAACGCCAAAACCAATGATAAATTAAGAGTAAAGATGGAGTTAAATTAAAATAATCGAAGCATATTGTTTTTGTTTCTTCTTATGAAATTTATGTAAATCGTTACATTATGTATTGTCGAAAAACCATTTCAATCCAAAAATTTAACCTATTAGGTGAGGCTCTAGGAATGTTTTTATATTATTCTCTAACATATTCTTTCAAGCAAAAGTTTTTAGACTTGAAATTTGCACTGAGACCAAACCATTATCTTGTGTTTAATTAGAAGAGAAAATAGAAGTGGTGAGATTTGAACTTGCGATCATTTGATCAAAATTTTAATACCATGTTAAAAAATCATCTCAATCAAAAAACTTAAACTATTAAGTGACACTTCAGAAATAATTTTATATTACTATCTAACATAATGTTTTAAAAACATAATGTCATACATCCACATTGATGGAGGTAAAAGGAGTAATGTTTTTGTAACAATGGTTGGTTAAATTACTTTTAAAATAGTAGATGCTGGCTAGATTTGGGGTAATTTTACTATGGTGATAGTAAATTTTTATTTTATATTTAGTTAAGCAAAAATTACATTTTGAAAAGTAAATTAACTTTTGTGTTTGTAAATCATTATATAGTTGATGTAAATTAACCTATTGAGTTTAACACTTTTATATTAGTAGAATTTTTTTGATGTATGTATCTCATTAGTGTTATCTACATAAACCAACTATTATTATTGTAATAGTTTAAATTATTATTATTTAGATAATATTGTATAGACTTTTTTATTGTTAAAGTTAAAGTACTATTACATATATAATAACAATTATAATTGTCTTATTCGTGATAAAATAAACTTTTATCGTAGTCAAAAGGCATTTAGAGTGTTCAATAAAATAATTTTAATTAACTTCACTATAATATAATATGATTTAAGTAATAAAAGAATTTTTTATTAATATTGTTTTTGTATTAAACATAAACTCTAAAAAAATATAAGGTGTAGAAATTTTAAAAGTCGTTGTAATGTTTATTGATTTAAAATAATTCATAATCTATACTTTAAATGTGGTTCATGAAATTGAGTTGATATATTTTATTTTTTAAAAGTAAGTCCTTGAGATGTACTAGGAAATAAGTTTGTAGAGGAGATTCTTGAAATCTAATTTGACGACTAGTCGACGAGTCGATCAATATGTAAAATACACTATGACTTGTAGAAAAATTATCAACCAACAAAATAAAAAAAATGCAAATAGTGAGAGGCGGGAGAGAAGGAACATGCAATGTTGGCAAGACGCGAGTCGTGTGGTTAACAAGTGGATAGTCAATATTCAAACGAGATAAAGCTTTAAGTATTGTTTGGTATACGACTAAGAGAGTTTTGAGATAGAGAGTTTAAGAATTTTTTTTGCTAGAGATCAAAAGTTCTAAAATCAAAAGGTTTGCTAACATAAAAGTTCGATCCTCTCATAATGATATGAGTACGGTATTTATAATGAAAGAAGATGACCCTTAATTGTTAAGATCATATCACATCATGCAAGTTTCAATGGTCGGATTTAGTTTGAAGAAGTTAGGTTTTACGGAGTAAATTGCTTCAACTTACTAGCAAAGGTTAAAGGAACAATTAGGTATTTTTTTAGCGGATCCTGCTTCAAATCCACTAAGTCAATCTCTCTAATACATCTCAAAGACAAGCATAGACACCGATCCTATCATAATATCCGTATTCATATTTGCAACCCAAGAATTTGTTTTGAGTTAGGTATAGTCTTAATTCAATTTATTTATCGTACAACTTAGACCCACGTCAAAATTAAAGAAAAATAATATAAATTAATAAAGAATAAAAATTAGTTAAATTAATTAACTTTACCAAAGATTGAGCATATTAAAGTTGTTATTTTGCATTATGCACATAGCACAACCATATAAGTACTTACATGAAATTACCACCAGTATATATAGTTCAAATTACTAAAGAAAAAAGGCCATATTTGAAACGTTAAAAAAAGGCAATAAATAATAAAATCAATCATATAAAATATAACCTTATAAAAAAAATGCACTCGCATACGAATCGCTAATCAAATGCTAATTTAGCTATATAATGGAAGTGCTAATAGCTAGCTCTTCCGTAATTCATAATTAAATCCACTCCAATCCTCTATAGTTTACATGAAACCAACTTACTTAAGTTTAGCCACCAGCTAGGCATTAAAAATAGATAAATGCAACATTACCTAGGGCAGGTGATTGAATAGTATAAATTTTTTAGGTATCTCAGGACAAAAATTGCACAAATCAATTGCCAGTTTAATGACACTTGGAAAATAAAATTGCAAGGGTACTCCTAGATAAGTCTAAGAATCTCCTTAAAAAAAAAAAAAATTAATAATTAATAATCATCGAGGAAAAGAAACTGATAACTAACTATATAGCTTCTCGATCGTCTTTGTATTATTCAGAGAGTTCATAGTTTATTATGTAGCATTTCATGTCCCTCTTCCTCCCTAGCTAGTTGACATGTGACATCAACTCCTAGCTATAAGACGACAACAATTTTTTTCCTTGTAGCTATAGCTCCGATCATGCCGAGGACACTTAGTGCTCTATATGTTATGTCATTTTATACCATACAGCTAATGATGAACTAAAACCTCCAGTTCATACCGTTATTTTTAAGGCTCTCGACCCCTAACAAAAACACACTTTGCCGTCCAAAATATAACGCTCTCTCCTTTTCTTTTTGGTGTAGTCATGCACAAAAGATTCAGGCAAGCTTTTTGTGCTGTAAAGGAGCACAGCTCTGTAAGTTATGCCAAAATCGCTACAGTTGGAGGGTTTTGTGATATTGATCTCATAATTGTCAAAGCAACTACTCCTGATGACTTGCCATTGTCTGAAAAATACATACACGAGCTCTTGAAGATATTTTCCATCTCTCCCTCGTCATTTCACTCCTTTTCTCTGAGCTTCACTCGCCGTTTTGGCAAAACTCGATCCTGGAAAGTTGCTCTCAAATGCCTCATTCTGCTCCACCGTTTGCTCAGGTCATTGCCTGAAAATAGCCCTGTTCGAGCAGAACTATTATGGACTAGATCCAATTGTTTGCTCTCTCTCTATCCATGTCATTTCCAAGATGATTCATCTTCAAATTCTGAACATTACACCACTTTTATTAGGTCCTTCGCCCAATTTCTCGACCAAACAATTGATTGCTTTTCCATGGAAAACAAAGCAACGGAAGAAGAAGTAATGCATGAGAGCTTGCACCATAAAATAAGACAAGTAAGCAGAAAGCTTGAACTTTTGCCACAACTTCAAATCCTAATAGACCGAGTCATGGATTGTATTCCAACTGGGGTGGCTGCTAGAAGCTTGATTGTCCAATTGGCAATGAAACATATCATTCGTGATAGTTTCATTTGTTACACAACTTTTCGAAGAGAAATTGTTTTGGTTTTGGATAATTTGCTTGAAATGCCATACAGGAGTTGTGTTTCGGCTTTCGGGATTTACAAGAAAGCTGCTATGCAAGCGAGTCAGCTTTGCGAGTTTTATGATTGGTCTAAGGCTAAAGGGTTCTGTGGCTCATATGAGTACCCTTTTATAGACAGAATTCCACAGATACATATTCAGGCTCTCGAGACTTTCCTCAAAGGGATGTGGCAGCTAACTGATCAGTCATCATTATCTACTACATCACCATCCTCATGGGTTGAGTTTAAATCAACTTCAACAGAAGACGATGATCAAGATGAGCAAGTTTTTAAAAGAAATACTTCAATAAAGATTAGTTCTCAATTGGAGAAATCTGTAGAGAATGGCTTTGCGAGAAACTTTGAGCTGGGAAAAGAAGAGATGGCACCTCTAATTCAGTTAGAAGATGGGGAAGATGATAACTGGGAGGCCTTGTTAGAAGCTTCACTTGATACTAATTCAAATGACCAGCGAATGAACTTTCTGATTTACCCTAGTAGCTTGAGCAATGGCTCTGGCAATGGACATGGGTATGAGAATCAGCTTATTTGTTTGGATGATCACACAAAAAGAGAGGAGCATGATCAATGGCAACTGCAAGTGTACAATCCAAATCCTTTTTGTCAGCCTTATAGTTACTTTCCCAATTCCAATGGATCAGAGCAGGTAATCTGGTATTTCCATGGGGATTTTAATGCTAGCTAGCTAGCTAATTTAGTTGGTGAGGCAATTGCCTGTGTTTGTCGTAACTTGTAACTCAAGGTAAATGACAAGAAAAAAAATCACGGATTAGAGATGGAATGAATAACCCTAAAGTTATATATTATTATACTCACTTTCGTTAATTATATGCGTTCCTTAAATTTCGCGTTGGGAAATTCGTTATGTGAAAAACACCATTTGATTTGGACTCCCTTCAAGTTAGAGATGTGATAATATCGTAGCACCATCGTCGCCCCTCTTTACTGAGTCTATTATAATTTTGCTAATAACTTTTGAAAATACTGATTTCATAATCGTATGACTAAAATGTTACTTTATTAATTTGGTATTTGCAAAAATATTAACTCACAAAATAATAATTATTTAACTAGCTGAATAAATTAATAATTAGCAAGTATTTTTTTTTTCACATAAACTACTCGCACGCTTTATTTGACTTAATAATTAGCAATATTGAAATTTCAACTAAGAATGCTATATGATTCACTACAAAAAAACATGGGATTTGCGAGAAAAAAATAACAACGGTCTCAAAACCGTCGCTAATTTACTAAAATTGCGACGGTTGTAATTAGCGACGGTTTGAAGTACTTTAGCGAGGGTCTTCACAATCATCATTAAATTGGTCCTAAAAAATCATGAAAATTAGCGATGATTTTTTACAAAAAAAAAAAAAAAAAAGCTGTCTCTAATTCCAATTTTTTTTAAAAAAAATTTTCTAAAGCCATTTTTACGATGGTTTTTGTAAAAAAAACGATCGCAAATTATGAAAATTAGCGACGGTTTTTTATGATGATTTTTTTAAAAAAGAAACCATCGCTAATTCCAATTTTTTTAAAAAAAAACTCTAAAGCCATTTTTTAGACGGTTTTTGTAAAAAAAAAACAATGCAAATATGAAAATTAGTGACGGTTTTTTTAAAAAAAAACCGTTGCTAATTCAAATTTTTTTAAAAAAAATTTCTACAGCCATTTTTGCGACGATTATTTTACCAAAAAACCATCACAAATTTACCAATTTAGCAATAGTCCTTTAGACCGTCATTAATTGTCGGATCGTTAGAGGAAAATGGCTATTTTTCAAAATTTTCGGGCAATTAGTGACGGTTTTTTAGACCGTTGCTAAAACTTTCAACCCCTAAATACCATTTTGTCCGAAAATTTCCCCTAAAAAAATTTCTTCTCCCCTCTCTTCTTCTCCTTCGTTTCCAGCCATTTCCATCAAATCTTCCCCCTCTCTTTTATTTTCCTTCCAATCTCCTCCTCTCTCTCCTCCTTCCCTTTATCCCCTTTATCTCTCCCTCTTTCTTCCTCCTTTTCCTCTTTCTTTCTTCCTTTCTCCCCCTTCCTCACTCGCCCATTTTTTGGCCGAAACGGTCCGTCGTAGCCATCTCTTCTCCTTATGTTGGTAAAAGGTCCTCCCTCATCTAACTCCTTAATCAATTTTTTAATTTTTTAATTATTTACTTGATTTAATACTAATTTTTTGTTAATTTAATTGTGTTATTGTTATTTTTAATTGTTGATTTAGTTAATTTATTGTTGATTTATTTAGTTTAATTGTTAAGGAAATTTAATTGTAATTAATTTTTGTTAATTATAAGAGTTTAATTGTTTAATTGTTAATTTTATTGCTAAGAAAATTTTATTGTTATTAATTTTTGTTGTTAATTTAATTTTTATTATTATTAGTTTAATTGTTAATTGTTAATTTAGTTAGTTCATTGTTAAATGTTATTTATTTAGTTTATTGTTAAATGCTATTTATTAATTTAGTTAGTTTAATTGATAGTATTTTGGAAAGTTCATTATTTTAGAAAATTATTAATAAGTTATTAGAAATATTTTAAATTTTTGGTAATTACAAAAATAATTAGTAATTAAAAAATTAATAATTTTTGAAATTATATGTAGTAATTAAAAAATTAATTTATAATTAATTTTATTTAGTTGTTGATTAAATAAAGCGAGTTAAGTAATTACAAAATTAATTAATAATTAATTAATTAATTAATTTTGTACGGAAAATAAAAAATACGAGAGATGGAAGGACAATTCTCCTCCATTTCCTTAACAATTTTTTAGCATTTCCTAGCTATCCTAGACTAATTCTCCAATCTCGCTTGCTATGCAGAGATGGCATCACAAAACCGCGGGAGTGAGGCTGGTGGCGTAAGAATTGGTCCTTTAAGACATATAAGAGGGTCGATCAGCCATAGAGAGCATGTAATACGCATGGTAAATATGTATATAATATTTTTTTATAATGATATCAAAATAATTAATTAAATATTTGAGTATATTTAATACATTTACGTATATTTATTTCGACGTGAGGTGTTGGGTCGTGAACTTGATGCTCACGAGATTTTCTTGAGGACTCATTATAAAAAGATTGATAATCAATATGTCTTCGTCGATCAATGATCAAGAGTTATCGGTGTAAGTTATTAGTATATAATATTATTTCATACATATTAATTTATAACGTTATTTCACATAGTTGTTTAATATTATGTCTTTCACAATTATGCAGAAGACTTTAAAAAGATTAATAAATAAGGAGGAGTTTACTAAGCTGACGGATCGAGGGGACTTCATCGATCAATATCAACATTAATGAGATTTTTAGAAAGACCGTTGGTGGAGGAGATAGTACGAGGAAGAAGATGTATGGAGTTGGATTACACATATCTCATTGTTACTCTAACGTCAATACGAGCCTCCATTTCGACAACTTCACGATTCCATGTTGGTGATGAGGCATAATGAAAGGAAAGCGAGGATCGAACTACTGCAAATATACAAGAGATCTAGGAGCTACGGGGTACTATCACAATGTTGTTCGCTACAACAAATGAGTTGAAGAGTACACTCGACAACAACATGTGATGATGACATAGATGCAACAGATGTTCCTGTAGTATTTTCCGCAAGGTGACGAGTTCATCTATGGTGCCTAAAGCTGACAACGACTCCACCCAACCTCCGGACGATTCCACTCAACCTTCGAGTGACGATCCTGTCAATCTCTCATAGCTATCATGTTTTCTTATAATAACAACAAACTTTTTACTTTTTTCAAGAATTTAATAATTGAATAATATTTATTACATTTTAATAAATGTTATAATAAAAATTATGAAATTTTAAAATATTATGTTTAGTGTAGTTTGTAGACTTTTAAATAGCAATTGGTTAATTTAAAACGAGGGTTAAAAAAAACTGAAAATAATATCTTAGCGATGGTTTTAACCGTCGCTAATCGAGAATTATAGTGATAGTCCTAAACCCTCGCTAAAACCATTGCTAAATTGCGATGGTTTTAGCGAGGGTTTTTTTGTATCGTCGCAATATTTTCTTGCTTCTACAACCATTTTCTGCGATGGTTTGAGTCGTCACTAACCCAAACCGTCATAAAAGTTTAGCGACCGGTATTTTACGGATTATTTTCGAATCGTTGCTAATTAAAATTAGCAACAGATTTTGTGGAATTAGCGACGGTCTAGACCGTCGCTAATTCTATTATTTTTTGTAGTGATTGCCAACTAAAACCTTATTACAATATGCAATGGTGGAGCTTTGATAATTAATTTTGCAAGTGCAAACTAATAATGTTGTTATAAAAATCATCTTCTATATGCTAGATTATTTTAGATGACAAGATTTTGAATATATAAAAGTAGATTGTAACTATTTTATTTTTTCATCTCTCGTCTAATTAAAAAAAAAAAAACATAGCATAAATATCTTTGCCTAAAAGAAAGAGCAACATTATTTAATTTACGCATGCATTTCTAGTTTGATCTTGATAATAACGTGGAAGGTTTTGTTTCCTTTAGCGTGTTATTTTTATCAACAAATTATTGATCTATTAGTAAGTGAGTTGATCCCAAAACAAATTTTTTATCGATGTATAAAATTTGAATATTAACATTTTACTATTAAAATAGGTTAAACTTTATCCTTTCTTCTGCTTCAAAAAGAATTAGTTATATCTCTAAAGTGAAAAGAAAATACTTGGATAAACCAAAAAAATACTAGTATCATTTTTTTAATTAAATTCTTTTCTTTCTGTGCATTAAGAGTTGGCCAATCCGAAACTTACTGAGTTTACGTCAGGGTCTATGTATAGATGCGGCTAGACAAAAATGAAAACTTTGTGAAACGTTGCTTCTGAAAAAAGAATATTGATAATAATTAGCATGGTCCATTACGCAAATCCAAAAGTAAAAGCGTGCCATCATAGGCCCCAATGTTGAAGTTAAGTTGGGCCTAATTAACACAAGAAACACACTCAAATTTGATCTCTTAAAGATGGAGTGGGCTTTATGTTAAGGGTGCGAGGAAATGGATTGACTTGGCTAAAAATGAAAATCTTTCTAGTTCTAGATGACCGGTGAAGGATAGAAACTAGAAGACAATATTGGAAAATAAATAAGTTATCCGTCACGCTTCTACTTTCCAATTTTTTTTTAATTTTTAAAAAACAACTTTGTACTTTCAACGAATCACCACACAATCTCATGTTTCAAATATCTTGAATAGCCAATCACCAGTCATAGAATTTTGTGCGTAACATCCAGAATTCCAAAACCAATTTTAAGGTATTTGCTAACTCATTCTGAAAAATGTATTTCAAGTCCAATACCTTTGATTTCTTCAAATGCCCTTGAAATAATGCCTATAGTCGTAACCCAGCGCGTAATTTATTCTGCCATATAAAAGTCAGTGGGTCCTTTAGGACCTTTACTTATCTAGAAGGAGAGTAGGTTTGCTAATAATGCATGGGTTTGATTTTACCTTTTTTTTTTTTTTTTTTTTGGAGATTTAAATTGTCTGGAACTGACCTTCCTTTGATTTGATTTGATTGCAACCCATTTATGATTCAAACGTATACTGTATGTATAATAATAGTATTTTAACCTTTTAGTCATCGAAATTATTTGACTAAAAGAGAACTTTCTCCAAAATCTATGCTCGCATCAGTCACTACCTACATTCAATAAATTGATACCAATAGTCAAACCGCATGCCTCTCAATCTTATATACCTTTCATATATAGCTAAGGTTTACCGGTAGGAAAAATTAGGCCTTTTTTTTTTTTTTTTTGCAGAAAAAAACTTCTAAATTTGAGCGAAAAAACAAATGCCCCTTTGATTTAAAAAAAAATTTATAATTTTATATCCCGAATAACATGATTTTTAATGTGTTTTTTTCAATTAAGATTCTGTTGAGAAATTGAAGAAATATCCATCAAAATCCTCCTGATTCTTCTTTTTTCCCCTATCAGTTTTTTTTTTAAAAAAAAAACATGTTTTCTAATTAGAGGAAAAAAAAAGAAATTAGCAGATTTTTATGAAATTTTTCGTCACTTTCTTGACTACACCTTAAGGAAAGAGACAAATTTAAAAAATTATACTGTTTATGACGAAAAATTAGGAATTTTTTTAGTTCATATGAATATTTATTGTTTTGCTCAAATTCATGAAATTTTTTACAATTTAACCAAAATTATACAAGACTTTTCGTAAATTAAGCCCAATTATTTTTTTTCATACCAATAATTTATTGCAATCGTCCTGTCTTTCTTAGAAAAGATTGTCCAAGTTGAGGATGCACATTGACTAGCTAATTTAAAGAGAATTGGCAATAGCATAAGTACAAGCAGATTCTAGAGATTGCATGTGTACGTTGGAAAGAGTACTTGGTCAAAAGTATATAGATGGACTCTAGTAATGTACAAATAGATTCCACAAAATATTGTACTATGACTGACTTTTCCTGAATCTAATTTATACATCTTGAAGACGATCCTATATGCTAGCTGTAAATTTAGCTTTTAAAACCGCTAGATTTCACGATCCTTTGATTCTATTTCCTAGTACAGAAAGAAAAGAAAAATGTCGTAGCAAAGCAATTGTGCTCGTATGAGCTCAGAAAAAGCTTAGAAGGTTAACAACTGATCTTAATGTTATTGCTGCTGCAAGCAAATGCTTGGACGGTTGAACCTTGGAATTACAACACCAAACCATAATGCCAAGGCGGCATGGTAAAGGATTTCTTCTTCTGGAGACGAATAAGAAACTTGCGATAAGGGCATGCTTGGTACTATAACAGGTCATATAATAGTACGAATCACTATGCTCTTCCGTTTTGTTTTGTTATTTTCATAATTATAATGGAATAAGCAATTAAAACTATAATATATTTATCATATTGCAAGTCATAAAAACCATTACATGTATGATAAATAAGATAAAAGTTAGGCGATGACCTGTGACACATATTTATATATATATTAAAAAAACAACAACTGTATATTTTTGTTCAATTATTCAATACTCAACAGGTATTGTCCCGATTTTTGAGACACTTTACTTTCAAACCTTTACCCCTGGGGCCTCGCCCAACCCCATCTTGACGTTTTGGATTCTTTAAGACTCCCAATCTTCCCCGAACCCTCAAGCCACTCAACAGTACATGGTCTCGAACTTGACCCCTAGGTTGTCCGTCCTGGGTTTGATTCACGAGGTTACAAACCCCGTGCTTAACCGTTAATCAAGGTGCTTGATTCCCAAACACAACCCTTGGGACACCGGTAGGCGCACGATTTCTCCCCTCTTGGCTCTTTTCTTGACAATCTAAAGATACCTAGAATGAGTTTTGACCCTTGAGTAACTTTGGATGCCCTTGGTCTGAGGCTTGACATACGCTAGCTCCCGAGCTTGGCTCCCAAGTCCTTATCTTTCTCCTCAACCCCCTTGCCATCCAGGGCATTTGTTCCATGGATAATTATCGAAACGCGTAGCATTTAGAATCATTCAATTTCTAAATCGTTTAATCTTGATTCGTTATTAACAACTCACTTCATTCCAGCTCGAAGAATAATATATTTAATTTCATTTAATACAAAAATTTATCCTTCTATACCATTACCTATAACTATTAAAAATAGAAAATAAAAACTCACTTGATTCTTAAACACTAGTACTTTTAACTATCATTTCATTACATATTTATGAAATCTTACACCTAAATAAAAAAAAAAAACATAGCAGTATAACATATCATTGGATTAAATGGATGAATTATGTGATTCATTTTATTCCATAGCATGCTACAAAAGACGTCCTAAAAGTGATGTGTAATGATGATTATTGGCAGCCTTCACGCCTTAACAACTATAGCAAGGTTTATGAACAAGTGCTTTATTTTTAGAGATTATTCTAGGTTTGGTCACCTTTTAAAGAAGCCTGCTGTTAATATGTGGTCTTCGATCGCAACTTTTCATGTTGGAACTAACTCAATTATTGAAGACAAATTGTAAACAATTGTCTTATCTGTTTTCTTTTGGATAAATATATAATTTGGTAACAAAAATATAACACGAAAACTTCATGCTATCAATTCAAGAGCTAGCTTTGTGTAATTAACAAGAGAAGTAAACTTGGTTCCATCGTGACTCAGCCTTTACTTTTACGAACATAATTGTTCGTTTACATGTGCTAATGATATTAATATTACCCGATTACCTCAAAATCAAATCATAAATTGCATACAAACGGTGCTCGTGCCCTCATAGGATTGGGGTAAGTACTGGTCAAAAGTAACTAAGGTTTTTTTTTTTTTTTTTTTAATGGTGAAAATAAAATACCGTTTCCGTAGAAACAATCTTACACTTAGATCCAATACATATATTCCGAGTCTCTTTAAAAACGCTTTAGTAATAAAATCAAAATGTTCTGATAAACATATCTATACACAACTTTTTTAATATAAAAAATAACCACACCATATTATTATCACGCTCCCTCCTCAAAAACATATATAATTTATCTCCGAAAGCAAAGCAAAAGAAAAAAGAATTCAAACCAAAGTATGATTTCCATTGCTTTTGTATAAAATTCGAAAGCATTAACTTTATGTTGGACCGGATTATCATACAATCCGGTCCAACTTTTCTTAATGTTATGCATATTTAATCAGTACAAAAAATCCGGATAATACAGATGATATGACATTTGATCCAACGCAAAATCAATGCTTTTGGGCTTGAACAAAATGTCCTGAATTGAGAATTGGACTGTCAAAATCCGGAATACTATAATAATTTACTGTAAGCTTTTGTATTTTGTACATGAAACTGTGTATCATGATCAAATGTAGATCCTAACAATCTTGTCTACAAAACTACTACAGTGGCTGTAGCCTTGAATTAAAAGTGCTTTTTGACGTCCTTGAAATCTGCAGAATCAATACAATCCACTCTGTTTCTATAAGCATTCAACAACGTCAATAGCCGAGTTGCCATCTCCTTTGTTCTACCATCACAACCAACCTGTAAGAGAACCAAAAGCTTTTCAAAAGCATTCCTTTGAATAGCTTCAACAAGAACACCTCCATTCTCTCTCTTCTCATTCATGCAGAGTTTAAATAAAATAGAGACCGAGAACTTCATTGCTAAGTCTGAGGCTCGGTGTATTTTCCTGACTAGAACTGGTATTGTGAGAGCTTGATTGTATGCCTCCTCTCTCCCTTGATCACAGTCACAAATTCCGTCAAGAACTCCCATCGCCTTCTCACATAAACTTCTTTCGGCGTCTACAAGCATTTCTAGCAGCAATGAGACCAAACCCAAATCAACAAACTTAGATACGATCTTTGCGTTTGTAGGAGATGACGACGATGGCGTGACCATGTGATAAATGACCAGCAATGAAGCTTTTGTTGCAGCAGGGCAAATGGGTGCCTTGATTAGCTTAAACAACGCTTCCGTGGCTCCTTCAATTTCTGATAACATGTCCACTTTCCTGTAATCCAACGGAACAAGCTCTTTTAGCACCAGGACTGCGTTTCTTCTCGTAGACAAATCCTCACTTTTCAAGAACCACACCATGCAATCCATAGATGCATCTGAGGCAAGGTAAGTCGTGGCCTTGTCATGAGGCAAAAGTACTGTCAAACTTGACAGTATTTCTTCCAAGACTGCAACATTTTCATCGAAAGAAGCTTTTGAAAACTCTTCAAAAGCATATGACAAAACACCAGCCGTTCCAGTAGCCTCAAGGCACCTCTTGTTACGTTCGCTCTCCTTTGCTAGTGCCTTAATCTTGGCAGCCAAATTTTGGCATCCAATTCGATCTCCTTGTTTACAAGCAGTTTCAATTTTTGAATGAATCTCCAAAGCCTCCTCAGAACTAACAGGAATTCTAGGCGTTGGAATTCTTTCGATCCCATAAGACCTATTCGCGACGCACCAATCTTGTATCATCTTACGTATTGTGTGATTTGGTATTGGATCAAGGCTCCTGAAGACCTTGTTGGTAATGGGGCAGGTCACATGCCCGGCGTCTATCCACTTCTCAATGCTCTCACGATCATAAGTAATCCCACTTGACATGGTGACCGGATCTTTCATCAAGTCCAGTGATATCGGGCATCGGAAATGGTTTGGTATTGTGACTTCAATGTCTCCCATTTCGCTCTCTAGCCGCTGCTTGCCGGCCAGGCGAGCTGCTCTCCGCTTTCTCCATGTAGAGATCATCATGTGCCTAATGTTGATTTTGAACTAGGGACAACTAACTCTAGAAAGAATGTACGGTAATGGTGCTTTTTTTTTTTTTTTTTGCCTAAGGAAGAATGAATGTATGTGGTTTTGTGCTAAGGGATTGAAAGGGTAATTAGATGGGGTTTTTATACAGAGGTGTATGTGTTAGACTGACGCGGTTGTTCAACATTTAAAACTTAAGAATTATTATAATGTTGAATGAAATAAATAATGAATCATGAGGGAGGTATTTGCTTTGATGGGGTTTTGAATATTTGACCGTTGAAGTTTGAAATGGTACAAGGTATGAACCGTCAAGAGGGAGCGAGGGTGGTGGTTTTAGAAAATTTAGAATAGAATGGATCAAAAGAAGAATCAACACTTTGACACGCACAAAGATAAAAGGCTCGTCAACGCAAGGGTCGGTGTGGACTGACTCGTTAGAATGGAATACAAGCTTGTTGGTTTTCTTTGGCTGGGTTGGGTTGGGCTGGGTTTTAGAATTTATTTTTGTCTTTGCTTTCTATTTTTCACATGGGTGCGCCGTACGCGTGCTAAACGCGCATCCTCTTTCTAAGTTTCGATCAGAACGGTTACAGCATGTTGAAGTTGCGTTTTATAATTTTTTGATTAAGGGAGAAGAAACTCACACCGTACCCTGAACCAACCAACCATCCTCCTTTACTTTTGCCCACACGTAAAAACATGCATCCACTTGCCTGGTTGCATTTATTTATTTCCGTCCTCTTTATCACGGCATTTGATTTGCCCATTTCTTGAGGTATTAGTATTTGATGTCATGAAGAAAACGTTTCTATATTTGTAGTGCTATTTTCGAATTAGATTTGCGTTCCTATTTTTGAAGAAAAGATCGGAATAACTGTTCATTCAAATTGAAAATTTTAGGATAAATCTATTATTTCTACCTTGTGTTTTTACTAATTCATCAAAAAAAAAAATGCATATATGCTATTAATCTGATCAATTAAGCACAATTGTTTTTTATTTCAATTAACTTAGCACAACTTTTTAAAATTGAAAATTTACCACATTCAATTGAGTGCTTTTCTTCGCAACGTGATTCATTATTATTAATTTTTCGTTCATTTGTATTGTTATCATAATAGATGTATGTATGAATGTATATTTTTTGAAGAATTGATGAAAACATAGAATATAGTTAATGAGTTTAGTCAAAATTTTACTATTTCCGATTTAGACTTTATAGTGCAACCATTTTTGGGGAGAGGGTTAAAAGAAAATAGATTTTCTATGCAGTAAAAGTGAAAAATAAATTATAAAAGAGAGTTGGCTTAGTAATTAATGATTAAAAAGATATATTGTCCTATTGGTTATTAAAAACTTGAATAAATAATCGGATCGTTTTTTTTTAAAAAAAAAAGGGTTAAATTTGCATGAATTTCTTAATCAAGGAACAGATAGATGCCCTGCATTTAAGGGAATTGAAAAGTGAAAATAATCTTTATGCATTAAAATTGGTCCAACCATCTCAGTCTGACCAAAACATTAAGAAACGAAAAACACCTATACAGAGCTATTTAAAGAAATTTTTAGTGTGGAGGCAGAAGCAAAAGGGGTCCCCAAGTAGCAAAGCAAACAAGAAATTTATGTAACTAAGCACATAAAGTAATGTGTGGCAGTTAAATGAAGACTTAATTTTAATAGTTGCAGGCATCCTTTTATTCGTTCTTTCGTATCTATCAAATTCCTCAATACATGTCAGCTTTTTTTTTTTCTTGATCACGTATTTCTTTTTTTATTGAATCTAAATAAATAAACTTAAAAAAATTAATCTAAATATTCTTTATGGGTTTAACTTTATCTACATGATAGCAAGTAAATTTAGAGTATAAAAAGAAATATTTATAGTATCCATTTTTAAAAAAAAAATATCAAGAGAGTTTTAGTAAATTTTTTATATATAATTTTGAATGGATTTATAATTTTATAATATCTCAAAAACGTATATTATTCATTTTACAAATTTTTTAATTTGACTCAAAGATAAAAATACAAATTTTTAGGATTCTTTTAGAATATTTGCTCAAAAATGGTTACAAAACTGGATATATCTTTCACTTTTTTTGTCAAAAATTTATTGATTTAAATTTGGTATAAAAAGAGAGAGAGTAGAAGGATAAGATTAAAACAGAAAAAAAAAAATTGACACATGTCTCAATCCTGTAAAGCTAATAATGTGATTTAACACTTTTAATTAAAAAAATTAACAAAATAACAAAATTAAGATAAAAAATTAAAAATAAAAGGACATATTAAAAAAAAAAGTACAATAAAAAAAAATAACTAAAAAATTTCTGCAACCATCAACCCCTTGACAATTAGAAACTTGGACAAATTTGTAGGGTTCCCAACAAATATTTGAACTAATATCCATAGGGGATTGGACTTGTTTGTTTGGTCCAAATCTTTGCTAGGTAATTGAAAAGGCACATGTAGGCCCAAGCCTCCCTACGCAGATTGGCAAACTGTTTGGTTTCTAAGCCCCAGTGGCTTGGTAAAAGCACTAAGACTCTAAGAGTGAGGAAAGCCCAATTTTATTTTTAAAAATAAAACGAAATGAATCCGTTATTGGGCATTTGTTTTCATCCCGACTCTGATCTTGCCTGGCCTGCGTTATCCCTGTTCCTTATTGGGATCCGGAGTGAGAAGAATGGTTGTACAATAGATATCCATCTCATCATTCATTTTATGGATACTTTTATAACCATCAAAGTGTGTGAAGTGATAAATTTTAAAAAATTATAACTGAAGGGACGTTGAAGACAAAGATTCTTAGGGCTAACGTAAAATAATTTTCTTTTATCTTTATCTAGTACCGACAATGTTTGATGTTAAGAAATGGTTTGTTTAGGAGGAAGGCTGGCTAGAATTTACTGTAAAACCACTAGCCCTGATCAAATTAATTAACTATTCGGTTGTCTGCCTTATATTTTGGATTGAGTTAAACGTATTTATTTCAGTTTAATAACATATATTATATTATCAATCAATTAAAATATATTAAATTAAAGATAAAAAATAAAATATCATCTAATTTTATAATTTTTAATCAAAATTTTACATCTAATTTTTTTTTTGTTTAATTTTCTTTAATGAATTTGGTAATTAAAAAACACAAATTTCTAATTCTTATGCATTTATTCTTAAATGAAAATTCATAATAATCTAAATATAAATTTAATATAAAATTTTAAAAAATGTCTTAATATTTTTTTTCATAATATTGCATTGAAGAAATAAAGTAACAATTAATATAAAAACTTGCATAAAAATTAACAAATGAATATTTTTTATTCTTGTTTAATATCGATGAGAATTTTTTTTAAAAAAAATATGTACATATTATTTCTATATATTCATTTACAAAATAATGAATAATATTAGTATAAAAAATTATATTTAAATTATTAAATAGTTATTTTAAAAAATTATTTTAATTACTTTATTTGAAAGAAATTAATTTAAAAATATTTAAAAAAAAAAACAAATGGTTGTTGTTATGTGCATAGATAAATAGTTAATTTTTAATAAAATCAATGACCATACTTACTAGATACGGTCATTGATTTTATGTGTAGCATAAAATATTAAAAAAATATTAAAATTAATTTTAATATCTTTTTTATACATTATGACCATACTCACTGTGTCAAAATGTATAGTATAAACAAAAAATATATATTTTTTAAAAAATAAAGTTGTAAAAAAATATATTTAAGTTAACAGAATCTAATAAAAAAATTAATTTCGATAAAATTTGATTATATAAAAAATAAGTATATAAAACACATGAAATTTATTTTTAAAATTTGATTATGTAAAGAATAAACAAATAAAAATACTATAAAAAAAGTTATTCGAAATTTCATATATAGAGAAAATAAATAATATATATTAAAAAAATAAAATTAAATAAAAAATAAATTTGATGACAATTCTTGTAAGAAAAGACAAATTAAAGAGATCAATTTTAAACAATGAGAGTGATATAATCCAATTTATACATTCATTCTAAAATTTTAACATATATCATATATATTCCATAATTTTCTTTTTGTATGAAAAAACTAACAAGTGATTTTTCATAATTTTCACACTCAATTCAACAATAAAAATAAAAAAATATATATAAATTAATGAAAAAAAAAAAGCAAAGTAAAAAAGCAAACGAAAAAATGGAGAGACAGGTCGTGAACCTGGCTTCTGCAGGCCCAAGGCTCACCTGTGTTGCTAGGCCTGCTTCAATGATAGCTGCACACTTATTTAGTATGCAGCGCTCAAGGGATTAAAAATTATATTTTAAATTTTCAAGGATCAAAATAAAATATTATGAAAATTTTGAATATTAATATCCAAAAATAGTTTGAAAAATACAAAAAACACTACCATAGCTACTGTATATTTACAGTGTTTTGTGAGATGACGAAGAGTGTTTATTTTTTTCTATTCTTTTAGTTTTCTTAGTTAATTGACAATTATTAATAATAACACTGCTTTATATCAACTTAGAACGACTCTTCCCATAAGTGGGCTTGGAGGCCATTGGACCTATGTGAGGCCTTCTGGTAAAAATATTCACCTTCATTTGATTGTTATTAGTATCATATGATAGAAGCCTGAAGGCTGTCCAATTACTTGAGCAGGCGACCCCTCCAGCCTTGGGGAGATGCGTACGTGGCCTAGATAGAGCAGGTTGCCTCCCAAATTTGTACCATGCTATAGAAGTTCTTATCTTTGGAGAGGCAGGGTCACCATCTCAAAGAAGACTAGATCAGTTTGAGGGGGTTTGCATCCTAACAAAATGGAGGTTGGCGTTACAAGTTACTATATATATATATATCTTAGCAAGTGCAAGGAAACCACCGATATTCAGAGTTTTTCAACACTAATCTAACATTGTTGAATTGGAAAATATACCGATCACCCAGCAGTACCAAAAGAAAAAAAAAAAACAAACT